CTGTCTGTAACTCCAGTTCCAGGGGATCCAACAGCTTCTTCTGTCCTCCGCGGACATTGCACAACATGGGCGCTCTTACCTACATGCAGGCAATACATGCATCCACATGAAATAAAAATAATAAATAAAATATTTTAAAAACCCTCGTTTTACATGTAATCACATGAATATAGATTTCCATCTTCAATTAGAAATTAAGTTCCCACAGGTTATATGAAGGAAATAACTACAACATAATTATAAAGTATTGAGTAAGCCAAAAGCTTTTTAGAGTCAAAGTTGACTTTGATTATAAAGATACCAACAAAAGCTTCAGTGCCTTAAACTTTGAATCAAGTTTGACCATAACTGAAAAGAAAAGAAAACCACTGCAATGTTAATGAAGGGCATGTCTTCAGTAGACCTTTTTGCTTGGAAGCCAATTGTAGGTTGCTTTCATCCTTCATGTTTATATATAGTCCTTGAACTGCAAAGACCCCTTCCACATGATAGCTGTTCTGTATAGCAGAAGTCAGTTTCAGTATTTTGATGTGAGTTGCTAATATTTCTTAGTTGCCTCTGTTAGTTGCAGGTTGGAAGCTAGATGTTTTACCATGGTATTTTGAGGTTTGGGCTCTGGTCATACAATTCGTAGCCCTTTCTTTTGATTTGTGTATTAATAAGTACATAAATTTTATGTCTGGTTTAGATATTGGATAGGAAGCTGTAAAGCCATGTATCCCTACCCCAAACTCCTCATCTCCCTTTAGTGTGGTTAAAGATGTATTAGTGTTTTTCTTTATGTTGGATGGTTTTGTGTGTCTGTTATTTATTATTATTATTATTATTATTTTTATTTTTATTATTATTGAGACAAGTCTCTATAGCACCAGCTAGCCTGGAACTCTCTACATAGACTAGGCTGGCCTTGATCTCACAAAGATCCACTTGCTTCTGCCTCCCTAGGGCGCCACCATGACTGGCTGTTACTAGATTTTTAAATTTATGTGTATGAGTGTTTTGTGTATACCATGTGTGTGCAATGCCTGTAGAGGCCAGAAGATGATAACAGAACCCCCTGGAAATGGAGTTACAGAGGGTTGTGAGTTGCCATGTAGCTTCTGGTAACCAAACCCAAGCCTTCCGCAAGAGCAGCAAGTGCTCTGCTGAGCCATCTCAGCAGATCCATGTTATTAAATTTCTTGTAAACAATAATTATTTTGTGAGTTCTTTCATTTTCTAATCATGGTTTTAAATATATATTCTTTGCTCAGTAATTTCTTCCATTTTTTTCCTCTTTGGAAATAGTTGGTATTTCATGGTATTGTAGGTTTGAAATGGTGCACCAATGACTTGATTGCTGCTTTAACACTGTTTAATAATTATATAAAAATATGGTCAAAATAGTTCCTGCCACATTGCATTGCAGGATCTTGAACACTGATAGCTCTTTTTTGACATTTCAGTGAAATCAGCAAAACTAAGATTAGCCTTTTCAAGGCTATTTTCTTTTTGGTTCAGTTGTCACGTTTGGTGACTTAGTTAGGTCTGTCTTCTATCAAAATACAAATTTCTATTTGCAACCTAGGTTAGACTTAAAAATATAGCACAATCTGAATATATGATTGCTGTGTGGCTCTTTTGGTCTGGAGAAAAGCATGCTTTGCTCTCAGAGTACTCCCATCTTTTCCTAGGCTGTGTTCTATTGCTGTGCTAAAGGGATGTGTGAAAACAATCTGAGTACACCAAAGGAAAATATAACAGTGTTTGAAATGTTCAGATGTTGGGCTTTTAAAAAAAATATGCAGCTTTGGAAAATAATTTTTCACTTGTTTTGTTTACCATTGTACACGTACTGTGCATTTTTCTTTGGGCATTAAAGGCACTCAGTAACTATTTGTTAAGTAAATTGAACATTTAATGGTTGTAGACCTCTTGACAGTAGTTTATCCATTCACAAGATATTGCAAGTCTTAATGTTTAATGTAATAGGTAGCCTGATTATACATGCATATAACAGACCTTTGTGATTGCACATATAATAGCTACTCTTTTTTTTTTTAAACCAAATGATGCTTTCCTAATTTTTCTTTTCATATGATGTTGGGTAGTTGACATTAATTTTTTTTTTGTCTTTTTCAGATAGGGTCTTCCTGTAGCCCCAGCTGTCCTGGAACTGGCTAGGTAGACCAGGCTGGCCTCAAACTTACAGAGATCCTCCTGCCCCTGCCTTCCAAGTGCTGGGATTAAAGGCATATGCCACCATGCCTGGCATTAATTTATTCTTATTAATTGAAGGTTCAGGTTCACCAAATGGACTTGAGTCTGTGTTGAAATAGGGCACTTAATGTTTGGTGATAATTATTTCTCTTGATGTAAATTAGTTCTTTTAAGACTTTATATCTAGAGGTTGCCATCATGAATATCAGTTATTATTTTGTCTAACAATCATTAAAAAATAAAACTTTTTAGATGTTCGAATTATAAATAGAAATGAACTTTTTAAGGTTGATTTTTGTTGTTGTTTATTTGTTTGTTTGTTTTTTTTTTTTTGAGATAGAATCTCTGTGTAGCCCCAGCTGGCCTGGAACTTGCTATGTAGACCAGGCTGGCCTCAAATTTACAGAGAGACACCTGCCTCTGCCTCCCAAGTGCTGCTGGGATTAAAGGCATGCGCCACCACACCCAGCAGTTATTTCTTTTTTAAAAAATGATTTGTTGTATGGCTGTTTATTACTTTCAATGCTAAAATTCTGTGAAGGTCTGGAAAAATTGAATATTTATTTGTGAGACTTTTTTTTTTCAAATTTGTTTTTATTGAATTTTTGTGTATTTCATACAGAACATCTCAAACAATTTTAATCATCTTTATACCCCTGTCCCCATTGGCACCTGAAACAGTCCCACAAGCGCCTCAGAACCTGCTCATATGATTCTATGGCAGTGGTGTCAGCATATACAAGTCCCATGCAAACTCAGGCAGAGAAAAACCCATCATAGAGCAGGGAAAATGAACAGCAGACTCCAATCTTATCTGAAGAAATATTGGCAACTGATTGCTGCTAGATGAAGAAGAGCTGATCTTCCCACAACAAGGAACTGTAGATAGGCTGCTTTTTTTTTTTTTTTTTTAAGTGTTCTTGGGGCCTGGAGAGATGGCTCAGTGGTTAAGAACATTGGCTGCTCTTGCAGAACACCCAGGTTCAGTTCCCAGCACCCACATAGTAGCTAACAACTGTCCATAACTCCAGTCTCAGAGGATCTAACGCCCTTTTCTGGCCTCCACAGGTATTTCATAATACAGGTGCATTACATACATGCAGGCAAAACACTCATACATATAAAATAAATAAAGATATTTGGCTTATCTTTTTAAAAAATATTTATTATTTTTATCTATATTCATGTATTGCCTGCATGTAGGTAAGTGCGCCCATGTCATGCAGTGCCTATGGAGGACAGAAGAGGCTGTTGGATCCCCTGGACCTGGAGTTATGGACAGTTGTTAGCTACCATGTGGGTGCTGGGATTCGAACCTGGCTCTTCTGCAAGAACAGTGTTCTTAACCACTGAGCCACCTCTCCAACTCCTCATCTTGTTTGTTTAAATTAAAAATTTATAGCAACTCTATAATGCTTTTTTACTTTTTAAAATTGATTTGCATACCAGGTTTAATGTCAGATGTTACCAATTGTTATTGCATTCTTCAAAAAATGTGTTAAATGTTGATGTTACCATGTATTTTCTGGGTATGTTTCTTGTAGGACATTGTAATATTAATGGTTTAATATTGCCCGAGGAGTTAAATAGATTATATATGCATACATTCTAAAAGGACAGTTGTGTTTTATAGATAAACAAAGGCTAATTATAAGATATGTAAGTACAGTGATTATTGAAGAATCAGTAAAAGCAGATACTTTTAACCTTCATGACAGTTGTCATAGTCAAATTTTTGTTTTCAAAAGTTGAAGACTCACTTTGAGATAAAAAGTGATCTGACAATACTATTGAACTTTTTCTGCTTTTTAAAAGTGATTATAGGGCTGGGTAGTTCAGTGGATAGATAGTAGCATGCTTGAAACCCTGGGTTTGATCCTCAGTACAGTAGCTAAAATAGTAAACAAAAAATGATACATTCTATTTAAACTGTTCTCTATTATTTTATTTGAAGACTTAAAATCTAAAGCTCTTTCATAAATAAAAAGAAAGATATAGGATAACGTGATAAAATTAATTATTCAAATTCTCCATTCTCACATGCCTTAAGAAAATGATGTAGCATGTCAATTGCCAGCAGTAAATGTTTAAAGCAAATCTAATTGACTTAATTTGTGTAGCATAGTTTCAATATTATGTTTGGTTTGACATACCTGAAAACTATATTAAAATTCATTCGTAGGGCTCCAAATGTAATGCATTTTTTTCCTCTTCTTGTTTGCAGCATTTTCAGTTAGCTTTGGTTGACTGTAATCCCTGCACTTTGTCCAATGCTGAAAGTAAGTTTTAAATACAAACTTCACATTACTTTGTTACAAACAATAATAATCAGTTATAATAATGTTAATAATTTCTGTGCAATTTGTTTCTTCTAGAATTGTCAGGTATAGCTATTGTTTGCAATGGCTGCTTGTAGAAGTAGAACTTGTGAGAATAGATATTGTGACCAGCCTGTGTCTAAAACAGATAGGTAGTGAAGTAGATTGTTGAATTAAAATTATCGGTACTAATGCACAAGGTCTATTTTTAAAAGTTTCTATACACTTTAGATGTTGTAGATTATGAATATAGTTTACCGGTATATTTAGGAAAAATAAGCAAAGATTTATGTAGGCGTTCACTGATTCTACTATGTGGCATTAAAATTATTGGTAATTACAGCTGGGTTTTGTGGCCCACACCTTTAATCCCAGCACTAGAGAGGCAGAGGCAGGCAGATCTCTGTGAGATAGATAGAGGCCAGCTGCTAGCTACAGAGAGACCCTGCTTCAAAACAAACAAAAAGATAATTATGAAGAAATGCTTTGACTTTTTATTGTGTATGATATGCCATACACAGAAGAGTTCGGGGTAATATTTCCCAGTTAATTGAAGAGAAATGCTTTCATGGGGTATATATTGACCCCAGTGGTTTTCCTCTTATTTCCTGTTCTCCTATTTAGTCAACAGTATGGAAAAATGCCTTAGGAAATGTTTAGATTCCTGAAAAGCTGTAGAATTTTGAATATAACAGGGATTAACAGCATAGGCAATCTGGGATTGTAGCTCAGTGATGGAGCACTTGCCTAACATGTGCCAGGCCCTGGGTTGGCCCTGGTTGGATCACTAACCTACTTCTCCCAAAAACGATAAGTTATAAAAGTAAAATTAGCTTTGAGAAACATTTCTGTAAGGGAAAAAAGTGTTTTTATCAGTATTTAAGTGTTTGAAGGTAGAATCATGGTGATGTAAGATTTTTCATTATAAGATTACATCAGGATAAAATAGTTGTCTTGATATTTTTGTCAGTTTTAAAAATATTATATTCTGGATAAGTTTAGTTTTAGGACTTTTTATGGCAGTGTTTGTTAAAAAAATGTCACTTCAATTGAGATTTGATAAGTAAAGCCTTTTCTTAGTTGTAAAATTATGCTCTTTTTTGAAGAAGACTTTAAAGCATTTTAAAGTATTGTGTTCTTTGCATTGTAAAAGACAGCTTTGGATTTAGTAATTCATGGGATAATGAGATCCTTTGCATTAGGGCCTAGGACTAGGCCTACAGAAAGTGTAGGGTAACAGTAGAACAACAACCTCTTTTGTTTTCATTTTCCCATTGTCACTTTTCATTAGAGGAATAAGAAGATAAGGGTAAAGTTCATAATTTTCCACGTCCTCCTCCTGGAACAATCTCCCTTTCATATAATGAGATGAGCTATGCAAGAGCTTCCTGGAATATATAGTGAGGAATAAGAAAAGCCTCTTAATATTTTGTGTATAACTTCAATTATTTTTAGGCTTTTCATGCAATGCTATTTTTTGTTTTCTAATGATAATTTAATTTTTACTTACCTGATGTTTAACTTAAATTTAGTACTTTTAATCCAAAAATGCTATTTGATTTTTAAATTCACTATATGTTTTGTTTGCTTTGTTTCTTTACCTTGCTTATATGACAAACATTAACCTTTCGGTCCCCCGCAAGAGCATCCAGTGCTCTTAATTGTTGAGCCATCTCTCCAGCCTTTGATTTTTTTTTTTTGTATGTGTAGTGCAATGCCCATAGAGACCAGAAGAGAGTATCAGAGCCCCTGGAACTGGTATTAAGGACTACCATATGGGTGCTGAGAACCAAATCCAGGTCGTTTTTTTTGTCTTTTTGAGACAGGGTCTCCCTGTAGCTCCAGCTGTCCGGAACTCACTGTGTAGACCAGGCTGGCCTTGAACTCACAGTGATCCACCTGCTTCTGCTGGGATCAAAGGTGTGTGCCACCATGCCTGGCAACTTTTTTTTTCTTAATGATGAAATTTATCTAATTCTGAAGCACAGAAAAAAATTAATCACTCATTTCCTCTGTGGCTACCATGATCATCCTGGTCTCTAACTTCTCAGTAATGTTGTATAAATATAATAGGGTATATTGAAAAATCTAATGGCTTTTTTGTTTTAATGTTTTCTATTAAATATTGACTTGAATATTCTTTTGACTTATTCAATTTTAAGTACTGTGCTTTGAAACATATATTATAGAAGTTTCCCTTATTTACTTAATATTGCCATTTTGAACTTTGTAAAACATACACTCCATTGCTATTAACACCAAGAATCAGCACAAATTTTATTTGATAATGGCCAACAGTGACTGCATATGGTTCCTTATCCTGTTCTTTTAGTATGCCTGTTTGTATATTATTTTACTGAAAGCAAATAAAAGTTATGTTATTCTGTTACTTAAATCTTTATCCTATAAGCCATGCTTATTTTCTGTTTTGTTATTCTTGCCTAATTTACCCCAGACCTGAGAGTATTGTTACTGACTTTTTTGTTTTCTATCATCCTTTGCAGTTCAGTTTCACATTGCCCACTTGTATGAAACACAGGTAAGTGTTTTAATTTACCCAAGTTAGGAAAGAAATTTACATCATGCTCTAATGACACTTAACTATATGCAGATCATTTAATGGAAATTTGGCATTATGTTACATAAATACTAAGTTTTATATACATCGAGTTCGGTCAAAATGCTGCTACATCAAATAATTATGACACAGGAAACTTGATACACGGAGAGAAGTTTTGCTTAGGACTTGCCTGGAAACTTGATTTGCTAGCTCAGATGGCTGTATTTAAGATTTCTCTTATGATAGAGAATGCTTCATTTTCTTCTCAAAATGTTATAGGTGCTTGTTTTAATACATTTGTTTTTAAATGATTTTCTTTGTGTATATGTATATGTGTGTGTGTGTGTGTGTGTGTATGTATGTATACACATGTGTACATATGTACACACATGGTGGAGGCCAGAGGTGGACACTGGATATCTTCCTCTATTGCATTCCACTTACTGCCTCTGAGACAGCATCTCACTGAACCAAAAGTTGGCTGTTTTGGCTGAGCTGGTTGGCTGGCAAGTGAGCACCAAGTTTGCCTTGTCTTTCTTTACTCTTTGCATTCTTCTTATTTCAGGCATCATAAAGGTATTCCAGAGCCCATGTTGTAACTCCCCTGTTTTCTTCCTAAGAATCTCTGGTTCCCTTTCTTTTTTACACATTTTTATTTTATGTGTCTGAATGTTTTGCCTGCATGTATATAGTAAGTGCACCCATGTCATGCAAGGCCAGAAAAAAGGTATCGAATTTCCTGGAACTGGAGTTATGGACAGTTGTTAGTTGCCGTGTTGGTGCTGGGAACCGAATCTGGGTTCTTTGAAAGAGCAGCTATTGCTCTTAACCTCTGAGCCATCTCTCTAGCCCCCTAATTCCTTTTCTTTTAAAAATGGTATTTAGATGCCTCAGTCTAAGTGCTAATCTATTCACAGTTGCTGGTGACAGTAATTGATTCTAGGACTTCCCAACAAAGAAAGCTAGGAAATATATTTATGCATGTATATGTACACATACAACACATTCTCACATATATTTCCATCCAACTACTACATCCATAGTGGCCACAAATTCACATGTGTTTTCACTTTCAACTATCACCACAGCTCAGCTTAGCCTTTCTTCTTTCATTCTTGTGAGTTCACTCTGACAGTGAAATCTCTCATTATCCACAATGCTTGTTTATTCCTAATGTTCAGATGACGTACATTCAGAGTTTCTAATCCATACCCATGGGAAACCAGCTTTAGTGTAGGATGCTTTTACACCTTTATTGTCTTTAGCAGCACACTATAAAGTCAAAACACTGTTCTGTGCAGTTGTTATGTTAGTTTTTTCTTTTTTCACCCCCTTCAGCATAGTTATCCTATTGTAATACAGTTAAATTCTTTTCTTATAGTTTGTATTTTATTGTTGTTGGCCCACATCCTCGTTCTTCTTAATTACTCAATTAATTTGGGGGTATATGAAACATTACTAGGTTCTAAGCGTGAGGGTTATTCAAAAAGTATATACTCAATGAAGTTCTGCTCCCTTTACTGTCGGGGATCCTGCCCTGACACAGGAGCCCGGGAAAGGGAAGTGCTCTGTCTGCCCGTTACCCGCAGCCTCCCCAGGAGACAATCAGACGCAACAGGGAGCCAGTCAAGCAGGAACTCGTTTATTGCAGGTGTTTACAGAGCTTATAAAGGCAAAAACCACAAAGGAAAATTCCCTCCCCAACCAAGTGTCCAATCATTTTAAAGGTGAACTTGAGCATGCAGTCTCCTCTCCATAGCACAGCATTGTGTTCGCGGGGTGATCATGCACTGCCAGGATGCACGGAAATGACAGGAGCCAATCAGCGATTCATCAAAACAAGTCTGGCCATGTTCCGGCCGTTTCCTTTAGGCACCAGACAAGTCCGATCATGCCCCGGCTGTTTCCTCTAGGTGCCATCCTGCCTCGCCCCTGGCCTCAGGCCCCCGCATCTCACCCCCTACTTTGTTTTAAAAGTGAGATTCCTTAAGGATAGCCCCTGGGGATGTGGCGCACTATCCCCATCTCCCTCTGCTGCTATGGCCTCCCTGTCTTAGGTTTCCTCTCCTCAGGCACTGAAGTTGCCCATCCTTGGGTAACCATGATTGCCCTAATGGCCCCTGTCTTGGGTTTATCAGTCTGGGAGGGTCTTACCCGTCATTGGGACCAGCCATGTCCTTTTGCAGTTAATATACGGGGGTCTATCCCATAAGGGGGCAAAGCAACCTGGGCCTTCAGGCTAGCTCAAGCATCCATGCCTGGATTTATCTTGAGGAGGGGCCCGAGGGAGATTGGGTGGCCAGGGCAAGTTGGACCAGGACTTTTTTTCGTCTGTCTTTGTCTTCTGATAACTGAGCAGAGACACCTGAGGAGAACAAAAGCTAGCACAAGCATTAGAAACATGCTCCCATACCTTACTGAAAAAGGAGGAGTCCATCGATAGGACCAGGGCCCAGGTATAATTTAGAGCAATAATCTAATTGGTCAGCAATATGGAATAATTAAGAAATTGTTGGTTCCAGTGGCCGTGAATATAGTCCATGAGTTGTAGGCATGATTTAGTAATATTTTGAACTCTGTAAGGTGTGAGGCAAAGTGACCTAAAGTGAGGGTTGCAAACTAACAGAGCCATGTCTTTGGTAATTGCCAGCTCTTCTCTTAAGAGAAGGGCAAGAGTATAGGCAGGGAAGGGACCAAGGCCCAGAGGTCCTTGGCTTTTACCTGACAGATGACTAGCAGGAGAAGGAATACCATTATTGACAGATTTTGGTCAGCCATCTATTGATCAGATCTTGAATAATGATGGTAACGATAAAGATGATGATGGCCAGGGCAGCAGTGGCAAGTATGGCAATGAAAGCCTTCCATCCAAAATACTCCATCCTGTAAGACATGGAAATCCTCCTCAAAGGGCTGTCCCTGCATCTTTAGATTCCTTGAAGGTACCCAGATGGGTTGGGTTCATCCATGGGAAAGGTGCATCCAAGCCCCCTGCCCATAGTAAGGAGTGGGTTAGGTCCTTGCCATTGTCCCATTACTGGATCCTTCCATCAGACCCATACCTCTGGTCTTTGCTCCTGACATCCCCAATGTTTTTGGAATCGAGATTCCAATTGACATTTTTGAAAATTGAGAATATTAATGGTAAATAAGGTCAAACCTAGCTGTTGGTGGCGGCTTACTCCCACTTTTTGTTTTTGTAATTGGGTCTTTAGGTCCTGATGGTTACATTCTATGATAGCTTGGCCCTGGGGGTTATAGGAGATCCCCATGTTATGTGGATTCCCCATAAAGAGAAGAAGTCCTGTAAACTTTTACTTATGAAGCATGGTCCATTGTCAGTTTTAATCCTTTGAGGTAATCCCAGCATAGAGAAGCACTGGAGGAAGTGAGACTGAGCATGTCTAGACTTTTCTCCTGTATGGGTGGTAGCCCAACAGGCATGTGAGAACGTGTCAATAGACACGAAAACGTACTTGAGTTTTCCAAAAGGAACGTAATGTGTGACATCTGTCTGCCAAAGAGAGTTAAGCTTCAGCCCCCTAGGGTTTACCTCTGGTTGTTGGAGGGGTGGCACCTGTGGAAAGGATTGACAAGACTTACAGGTATGTACAATTTTTCTTAGGTCCTTGATAGGGACTTAAGGGAACCTCTTATGGAGTCCCCGCCAATTTACATGGGTATGATTATGCAGTTGTTGAGCTTTCTCCAGGCCTGCTGATAGGATATGGGTAGAAACCCATTTTGTCTGCCTCTGCATTGCCTTGGGAGAGGAACCCAGGCAGTCCTTGGTGGCCCCTAAGGTGCTGTAAGAAAATGGGGGCCCTTCTTTCTTTTAACAATGTTCGAACTGGATCATTAGGGGGGTAATAGGGTTGTTATCTAGCTGAATATGAGAATTTAATAACCCCGGGAGAAGGCTGACTACATATAGGCTGTCAAAGAACAAGTTCATGGGGTCATCTACTTTGGATAAGGCTAGGGCATGGCCATGAGTTCCTTAAATTGAGCGGAGCCCTCGCAAGTGTGAACGTATGTTTTTGGTTCTGTTCCTACCGCCGGGTAAATTACTACAGCGGCTCCAAATTTTCCTCCATCAGTAATCACATTATACGCCTCCATGAGAATGTTTTTGACAAAAAGCCTGGGGGTCCTGGGGGCCCCCCAGTGGAGGGTGCGAAAGGAGGTTACCCATTTGTGAGGGTCATAATGACAGTCCAACTTTCCCAGAAAGCCCTCCAAGGCTATGGCTACTCAGCTGTTGTTTCTGCAGAGCCATTCAAAGTCCTTTAGCAGATAAGGGATAATAATATTGTGGGGGTCAATGCCATAATGTCTCAGGGCTATATCCCGTCCTTTCTCAATTAGGTCAGCCAACTGGTCTGTGGTTGTATACACCCGTGGAGTGCCCCCTAGGGAGGTACGCACCCGTTGGAGGGGCCTCCCCCCTTGTGTGAGGACGGATGTCATCAGGGCCTCGCCGGGGAGCACCCATAGTTTGAGGTCCTTTCCAGGCATATAGTGGGCCAGTTGGTCTTGGTCCAGGGCCTCCTGGACCCCTTGTAAAATGTCTAGGTGTTGTGGGTTCAGATGGATTAGCTCTGACGGCTGTTTGCCTACCAACAATTGGAACAGGGGCTCCAGTGTCTCAGTGGAGAGGGGCATCCAGGATCGTAGCCAATTGATCTCCCCCAATAGTTTTTGAAGTTCTGTCAGGGTCATATTAGGTTTAATAGTCAGTTGTGGCTTCAAGGGACTTACCCCCTCTGTGGACAGTGTAGTCCCCAGAATCTTAAAGGGGGCGACAGTCTGTATCTTGTCCGTGGACACTTGAAGCCCTCCTGCCTGTAGGCATTTTTGGGTGACCTCATATAATTCCTGCAATTGGTAGAGATTTGGTTCCCCAAAAATTATATCATCCACATAGGCATATACAGTAGCATGTGGCAAAGACTCTGTTGGGCTGAAGAGAGCCCTTACGAAGCTCTGACAGAAAGCTGGGCTTTTGGCCATGCCTTGGGGCAAGACTGTCCATTCGTACCTTTCATCAGGCGTGCTAAAGTTGATGGAAGGCACAGAGAAGGTGAACTCGCAATCTTGGGGTTGTAGGGGGATAGAGAAACAGCAGTCTTTGATATCTATAACTATGAGAAATAGATCTGAGGGGATAGTGGATATCCAGGGCAGTTCCCTCAAGGGGACTCCCTCCAGGGTCATTCTGGCATTGACCTTGCGGAGGTCTTGTAGCATCCTCCATTGGCCAGATGACTTTTTTTATGACAAAAACAGGGGTGTTTCAAGGGCTCATGGAGGGGCAGATATGCCCCAGCATAAGTTGTTCCTGTATAATATGCCTCAAAGCCTGGAGCTTTGTCTCTGGCAAGGGCCACTGTTCCACCCAAACAGGGCTCCCTGGGGATCATCGGATTGCAGGAATTTGAGGAACAACGGCCTCTAGGATTGGGGGTGGACCTGGGGAGACTCAGACTCCTCCCCCCATAGTTTGAGAGGCGGTCAGGGGGCTATCTAACCCTGTTCATTTCCTCATCATCGAGGAGCCCCTCAATAAACTCC